CCCTGAATGCAGCCCCACAGAACGACCCATGGTATAGGGGTAGGGCGTTTATGCAAATATTATGTATTAACTACTATTAAGCATTATAATTTATTAGATACCAGAACTATACATACATACAGTATAAATTGTAATAATCATACTATTTTATTTTCACCTATAAAAAAAATATAGCAAATGTTTTGTATAATTTTTTTTTAATTTTAACTTATAACATATATTTTTMGTTTGTACTATGTAAATATTACATTTGTTCTCAATTTATAAAGGATACCTATAAATTTGTTGATGTTTTATTTTTTAATTATACTCCTCTAATCATATAAAATCTATACATAAAACTAATATTTAAGGTATATTCGTGTCAAAAAATTAATTGTTATTTAAGAGGCCCGGATTTAGTTCTGTACTAGAGCCAAAAATATGATGTGGGGCCGTGGGGGGCCTGTCTGACTGACTGTGAGATAGTTTGTGATCTAGAAACCATAGCTAAGTAATAGGACTATAGGAGAGTAATCTCTATTCTATAACCTATTTAATCTATACTTTATGATTTGTGATGAGTGTGATGCAACAATAGAGGCATATACTAATTGTATAGACCCAAAACAATTTTTTCTTTCGTGCTTTTATAAGCATAGATATTATAAATTCTTATATCTACCTATGTTTATATTAAGTCTACGCCTCTACGGCACGGAATGATATTCGGATTAATTCGTGGTCTATGGATACAACCACGGTATCAACCATTTAATTATCAGTGGTACACTGGTACATGACCCATGAGGCCATGACCCAACTACCATAGATAAGTAATATACATAATACCATATTATAGCAGGCTGATATATAAATATTTATATGTCTATATATCTTAATAGGTACCAATAATATTAATATACATGTTATATTATTATCTATGGAACTAAAAGGAGCCACGGTCTGAGGAGCAACTTTACTGGGCAAGCTGCTATGATCTTCAATTCTTCATAATGACAAATAACATGAAGATAAGAAATTTTTGTTTTTACTTTGAAGTGATTGAATAAAATATTAAAGTCAAATAAAATCATTAAAATCCTTAATATATTTAKAAGTTTATAACGTTAAACATCTTATAATATTTATATGCTGATRTATTATTATTTTATAACTAATAAATGGAGTTTTCTTGATTGATAGTTCTGTTATCGTGAAATAAGTCAATAGCTGTAGGTAKAGAATGGCTGATGACTTAAATACCGAAGCCGCTTCATCAGCGACTACATCGGAAGACAACGAATTAATGATCCCATTTGATGAGGCGGTTGAACCAATTCATAGCGATAAAACTGACCGGGAACATGTGGGTGATATAACTCCTGACAAATGTGCAGTTGTCGCTGTAGACATAAATGAACCTATAATAGGTAATAGTGAAGAAATTAAAAGTTTGATAACGACCACAGAACATGATATTAGTAATGAAGATTTAGAAACAAGGGTTAATAAAAAACACATTGATGAAAATCTATTGGATAGTGAAAACAAACTTGATGAAATCGATACAGGTGTAACAGAATGCTTGGATAATGACGCACCTGTTATGTTTATTCCTAACGTTGAAAACAAAATAATGGAATCAATCAGTGAAATTGAAATTAATATTGACCAAACTGACCAAATAGTTGATAAAGATATTACAGGTATTAATTACAATTTATAATTATTTATTTATCATATTCAATATTTTAAATATTTTTAAACTATATTATTTTATAGACKCACCAACAATTGATATTTTAGAATCTACCAGAAATAATGACTGTAATGAATATAATGATGAAGATAAAATTATAAATGAAGAATATGTAATAAGTGAAGAGAGTCTGAATCAAAATAATATGATATTAAATCCTGATATACTCCAAGAAAAACAACCCCAAAATGATTTAAGTGAAACACTTTTGAAAACAAGTTCTAGACCACAACGCCAAGCAGCAAAAAAAGCAGAAAATCAAATCAGAGTAAATATATTCAAAACTTATGTCATATTAATTAAAAAGGCTATTGTATCTGTCTTAAAAGTGCTTAATATCTCAAATTTACTTCCAACAGTTCATTTTTAGCTTAGTTATTGAATTAGAGTGAATCATTCTATCATGAAACTTATTGGTAAGGACATTATTAATGTTCATATATCAGTTTTTTTTTTAGATTTTTGGGTRATTAAATGGCTCAYTTAACTCGCTTAAAAACTGAATTATTGTAAAACACCAAAAAAACATACATGGTTGATGTTCTTACCATTTAGTTTCAGAATAAGTTGATTCACTCAAATTTTAAACTAACAAAGATAATCTGAACTGCTGAATGTGGAGATAATAAATGCGGGTGTAACATTTTTCAAATATTTATTCTACAATTTATAAACAATGTATGTATTGATATTTAATTAATATTTTAGGAAATAGCTAAGGAAATAATCAAACCTATTGATAGTATTGATGAAAAAATTATAGATGCAGTTGAAGAGTTATCTTCTCCATTAAAGAAAGTATGCTGCCAATGTAACAGGGTATTGAAGACTTATTTACAATTATTTCTTGTACCCATTGTTTAACGCATATGATTAAAATAATTGAATTTACAGTTTCGTTTATGTAAATTTACTGTAAATGACCATAAGTCTGTCTATTTGTGCCAAGAAGAATGTGTTGAAAATTACCGTAAGAAAAATAGTCAGTGTAAATTTGAAAAAAAGTGCCAGCATTGCCTATCAGTGATTTTAGAAAACGAAGATAAAAGTTACTATTGGCAAACAAAACATTTTTGTTCAGTAGATTGCCTAAGTAAGTAGTGTTATTCTATAATTTATTGTAATTTAGTTAATTTGAAATTAATATTTTGTTATGATTTATGTTGTATTATTTAGGTCACTATCAAAATACTGTTTTTGATTCAAATTGTATAAACTGTCAAAATCTTATAACATCAGATGTTGATTTAGGAAAGTTTTGTCGATATATTTCTGGTAAACTATTACAATTTTGTGGGACTTATTGTACTGAAATGTATGAAAATAAGTTAAGTTTGTGCAGTTTTTGTCAAAAGGATTTAGTTGGTTGTGATTTTAAAGTAATAATTGAATAAGAATCAATAGTAAATGTGTTATTATTTTTATATACTTTAATATTTAACGGATATTTTATAGGATTTCTGTTCATCATTTTGTCAAACTAAAGATTATGAATCAAGAAGAAAGCATGCTGATCCAGATATTTCTGTTATAGATTATGGTTCAAATGAAAAAGTAMAAGTCATTGGTAAGTCCACATTAAAATATGTACTAACTTATATTATTATTAATATATTTTACGTAATTTAACACCTATATAAATAATAAATATTTATTTACAGATATATGTAATGTGTGTTTCTGTAAATTAAATTCTTCATCCACAAATGAGTTTCAAATATTAAGTAATACAAATATTTTATTTAAGTTTTGTTCGAATGAATGTTTAAATAAATTCATTGTATCAAAAAAGAGAACTGTTTCTTGTTCAATATGTAAAGTAAGTGTATTTTAATTGCATAAACTATTTTTTGAAATTGTACTGTTCTTTGTTGCCGATAAATATCATATATTTAGAATAATCCATTTAAATAATTAGCTGCTACATTTTCCTAGGCAATTTCTGTATTTTTTGATCAAATTTTAATCTGAAATATTATTTTAGTCAGTAAAATTTATATGCATAAATAAAGTGATTCACCAAACATACATCCCATTAGATGTGAGGGGGGTGAGTGGATTTGTGTGGTAATTTTAATTGACACTGCTCAGGGTTAACGCAGATGCAAAAAGAGCATTTACTCAAGGCATCAAATTTTGAGGGATAGCCATGTATTAAAACTAAATATCTGAAAAATAAGAAGTTACTCTGGATTTTATCAATGATTTTTTTAGTTCAATACCCAAGAAAAATTTTAATAATAACTTATAAGTTTATTAAAATTCAATATTAACTATGTAATTTTCATCAAAACATTTTCTTAAAATTATTTTTATTTGTAAAAATTGTTTATATGGGTGTATTTATGCGGATACATTAATAAGTTAAATTATTAAAAAAAAWTTATTGGTTATAAAGTTATAATGATGRGAGGGGTAAGGGGCAAAAATGTTATGATCACTGGCAGCGTTGGACCTTAACTCGACTGACACTGCTATAGTTTGAACATGACATTAGTATTTCTCTGAGCAGTCAAAAGTTTAGGAAAAGAAACTGTTATACCCTATAAACTAGGTATAATGGAAACCTAAAAGTGCCTAAGTCACGATGATGTTAGATAGACTACCAAATTGTGCCTTTGTGCCTATTCTTACTCATGTCAAATTTAGATTTATTATGACAAATATTCATTTATATTATTCAATCGCAATTATATATTAAAATCGTTTAATATTTTAATTTATTATTTCAAATTATTGAACATAAAACATGTTGAACTTACGATAAATCATATTTTAACTGTTACCTTTYTCTTTTCTAAACTATTTAAAATTCTTAATATTATTCTTAACTTATTTTGAACTGTTATTCATATTTTATAAGATGTAATATCTCTGAACCTATCCATTCAATTTTTGTATAAACCAATAAAAAAAATTTAAAAATAAGGTCAAGCATAGTTGTTGAAATACCAAGTGTATATTATATATACCTATTAAAACATTTGCATTAATATGTGATTTTAGGTTAAAAAGTATAACATTGATATGATTTCTACCAAAAATATGTTTTCCAATAATTCTACATATATATGTTCATTRAACTGTGTTTTTCATCTACAAGAATCACTAGCATCAAAATCAAAAAAGTATTTTTCAATTCAATAACCTATTAATAAATTATTTCAATTATTTATTTATTTTTTCATTATGATTGTTTCCTAGAATTATTTGTGATAAGTGTGGATTACATTCTCAAGCAAATTATAAAACAATCCATATTGGAACAACCTACAACTTTTGTAGTCAAAACTGTTTAAATTTATTTCAGTTAGAAAAAAAGCAAAAAAAATCTAAATCTAAATCTAAAAATGGTTTGTATAATTGTATATAAATATAATATATAATAAATATTGTAATATTTTATGGCTGAYATAAATAAATATATTCAGGGTATTACAGAATAACTGGCAGTTGTAATAATTTTTACTCATGCTTACCAATTTAAATWWATATTATTTTTAATTTATGTATAATATAGTTTGCTAATTTTTAATTATTTAAAAAATATATAAACTGATTTTAGTTAGAACAAAAATTATTACATATTAGTTATTTATATTWGTCAGCTTTTTCTGTTATTTTTTGCATGTATAATATAATAATTAAAATAAAGAATTATTCTAGTTTTTAGTTTGTTTTTTATATTACATTTTATATAATTTTAACTAGGAAAAAAATCTTCAGCTTCTAGAATATCTACTCGTCAGTCTGTGCGTAAAGAAGACAATGATATTGATGTAAATACAAATTATTAATAACTCTTTATAAGTAGTTATTCATAAAAAATAAATAAATATCTAAATATTGTGGTTTTCCAGAGTTATGGAGTACATAATTCTCAGCAAAAAACTTTGAAAGTTAAACGAAAAGTTGGTAGAAAATTAAATTACAAAAATGAGGCATTTAATGTTGATAAAGAAGTACAAACAGGTAGGATTTAATTTTTTTTATATTTATATGAATAAATCAATAAAATCAACATTTATGTGCGATTTATTTTAGATCAAACGGGTGGTAAAGGAGTAATAATACCAATTCCAGTGCCAGTTTACATTCCAATGCCTATGCATATGTATGTAATGCCATATCCAGTACCAGTGCCATTCCCAATACCTTTGCCAATTCCAATTTTTATACCTACGACTAAAAATACTACTAAAGCAATTTTTAAGGATATAAAGGTAATCAAATAATTGATCTAGTTGAAATTAAGGCTATTATCTAGTTTTTTATAAATTATATTTAACAGGGAAAACCTTAGTTTTAGATTTTGAGTTTTCTCATGAATTTACTAGTTTTTCTAGACCATAAATTTTTTTATATGTGTGAAGACATTTTACAGCAGAAAAAAATTTTCATTTTCTATTATGAAGGTTGATTTCTAGTAGAAAATATGATATTGTTTGATAAGTGTATGCAAAAAAGCGAACAATAATCTAAAACAATAGAAAAATCTGGTAGTATCTTGCTTAAAAATTAAACAATTTGAAGAAACTTTAAAAAACACAGATAATGTTCATAACTAAGTTAAATTAAAAGTCTATTCTTTCTAACAAAAAAAAAGAATGGTGCAGAGTTTTTTTAAAAATATTAAATTGTTTAGCATGTTTAAGTTTTTTTTGTAGTAATTGTATTATATAATAAAAAGTTTATACATTCGACTCTCGATAATTCGAAATTGATGGGACTGATGAAAAACTTTGAATTACCAAGAGTTCGAATTGTTGAGTAGTTCGAAATAACGAGAGGGCAAAAAAAATTCAAATTATAAAGAGTATTATTATTGTATTAGTAGTATTATTATTGTACATGCATACATATTAATTATTTCAGTAAATTAGGTGATTCATATTAGTTATTTATTGTTAGTWAATAATTTTAAAATTTTTAATWATTTATTATTATTATAAAAGATTATTATTTTTTGAAGAAATCTGTAATGGTTTTCTGCTTCATTGAATTTAGTTTCATTTTTTCAATAGTATTTTCTATAGTAAATAAAGCCTCAAAACCTCAACAGTGACTTCGGACTGAGCGAAAAATTTTGTAATTAATATTTTATAGTTATCGACAATAATAATCTAAATTTCTACTCGATTATATAGTAAATTCTTAATAAAAAAATTATAAGAATTCAGATAAAATACATTTGGTGAATATACTTTGAATTTCCGAGCATTGAACGAAGGATCCTTCAAATTGTCAAGTATTAGAGGCCAGTTTTCCCAAAATTTAATTTCGAATTACCAAGTGTACTTAAATGCATTGTTTTTGTTTGAATTACCGCGTGATTTTCAAGGAACTGATTATTTACTTCGAATTACTGAAAGTTTCGAATTATCAAAGGTTTGAATTATTGAGAGTCAACTGTAATTGGTTTTCCAAAACTCAGTTAAAAGCTTTAGATTAAATTAATTGATATAAATATTTGATTTAAAGAAAATTAGAGAAGAAACACCAGCTGATCCATTTGAAGCAGAACTGTTGTTAATGGCTGGCATGGTAGCTAACGATCTAMAACATGATAATGGCTCATCTTCAGATACTGAAAACGACGTATCAAATAATGGTAACAAACTTATTTTTCTTTGGAAATTGTATTTTTTAATATACACAATATTTATTAGAATACAATGATGACACAAAAGTTGTTTCATCAAGTGCTCGTAACACTAATTCTTTTGGAGATGATGTTCTCGCAATGGCTTTGAATATGGCAGGAGCAGATACAGAAACTCTTGAAGGGTCTGATGAATTATCTACCATGACGTCAAATGATCAAACAAATCAAATTATTGATGATGTTGAAGCAAACTTAGTATCTTCTACAATTATGCCTCAAACACCTGATCCAATGGAGAGTAAGTTTCAAAACTAAAAACTCCAAAACAAAATATTCTTTTAAAGTAAAATATTTATACTTTTTAAAGATATAACCCAGGAAAATATGATATCTTCCCCTCAAGATGTGTTATGTCGACCTCCAAGAAAACGTGCACCTCGTTCACAGTCTCAGCGTAACTCAAATTCAAAACGCTCTCGCAAAACTGAATATCCTCAAGCGCAATGCATCCAAGCAGGATTAATACAACAAGTTGTACAAAATCCTATATATACCATTCCGATGTCTGTAGTTAAACCTGACGCAAATATGTGTCTCAAGTATACATTAGGAGTTAACGCCTGGAGACAGTGGGCTTGTACAAAAAGTATAGAATTCGAGAAAACATTAACTAGTTATGTGTGTGGCATAAAAAAGACAAATATATTTAAGTTGGATCTCTTACAGTTAACAGCTAACGAATTAAATTATTGTCTATGCTTATTTGTGAAAGAGGTACGCAAACCAAATGGAAGTGAATATGCTCCAGACACAATTTATTATCTGTGTTTAGGCATTCAGCAATATTTATTTGAAAATGGACGAATTGATAACATTTTTACTGATATTTCTTTTGAAAAATTTACCGATACTTTAAATGAAATAGCTAAAAGATTCACTGAAATCTATAGTGATACAAGTAATACAATTTTTTCATTTAACATAATTTATGTGTTATAATAAAAATTTGTTTAGAGTATATTGTTACACGTGTTGAAGAAGAGTATCTTTGGGAAAGTAAACAGCTTGGGGCACATTCTCCCTACGTATTGCTGTGCACATTGATATTTTTYAATACCAAACATTTTAATTTAACTGTAAGTACAGTATAGTAAGTATTATAATATAGTTATCATTCRTGTTTATTCTATTTAGAGTGTTGAAGAACATATGCAACTATCATTTTCACATATTATGAAACATTGGAAAAGAAATCCTAACCAGCCATCAACGTCTGGTGTTAAGGCACCAGGAACCTATAGAAATGTATTACTGCGTTTTTATCCTCCACAGGCATCCATTGGTAGACATATAAAATTTAATTCAATATCAATTACCGAAATAAAAATATTTCGTTTTTTTTTTTATTATAGACTCACCAAATTCTCGAAAGAAAAAAGTGTATGAGCAACATGAGAATGAAGAAAATCCATTRAGATGTCCTGTAAAGTTGTATGAATTCTACTTATCAAAATGGTTATTATTTTATATTGAATCAAACAGTCTAAATTTGTGTTTTTTTAATGTTTTTATAAATGTTTATAAACATAATTATACACATAATTTTTTTTTTATAGCCCAGAAAGTGTTAAAACAAGAAATGATTTGTTTTATCTAACTCCTGAAAGATCTTGTGTACCTGATAGCCCTGTATGGTACTCAACTTGTGCATTAAATAAAGAATCACTTGAAAAAATGCTCAATCGAGTTAAAATGGTAAAAGAAATTAATGTTGCTTTGTTATCTTCCTAGTTGATAGTTTATAAATTATTGTTGATTCAATGTTTTAAGTTTTATAAGAAATTTTTTTTAATATCATATTATTAATATTTTTTGAGTCTATTTGTATTGATAATTTATAATTGTTAAATATTGATAATTAGTTGTATCAAAAACAAATGTTATATTTAAAAGTGTTACCTTAGTAATGTYATTAATATTTTGTAAGTAAAATTTTATTTTTCTTCTTATACAACAGAAGCATCCTAATGTTTGTTGTACCAACTACCAACACAATTTAATTGTCCAACAACCTAAGTAGTACCACTAGTATCTACTATAAATCCTTTGACCCTTTAAAATATATTTTTTACCTACCTAAAGTGAACATTTTAATTAGTTTGTTTTATTTAAATACAGAGCGATATTGAAGAAAACTGTTTGTTACATTTTTAAAAACATGATCCATCAATTATTGATTTTAGAAAATATCTAAACTTAAAAGCTTAAAATAATATTGATTTAAAAATGACATCACATATTATTGAATCAAATGATAAATAAGTAATATTTGTGTTGTTTTTAAATTCTCTGTATTAATGTAATGGCCTAGGACAGAGGTCAGTGACGTATTTAGGGTGGCAGGGGGGAGGGCTCTGGCCCCTGGCGCTAAATTTTAGAGAGCATTTTAGTGTAATATGGTACCTAGGTCATTTGGGTGATAAAAAAAAGTTTATTTAAAAGTTTTTTTACCAATAAACTATCATTGTTTTTTACAAATATAACTATTGCTAAAGAAATTTAGGTTGGAAGGAGGTGTTTTTTTTTACCTGAGACCCAAAATTCCTAAATACGTCTCTGTCACTTAGTGGTGGTCAACAGATTAATACTATCTGACACATAGWYAATAAAAAAAAGTAAAAACTTAATATTATACGTTCTTGTGTTGTAGTTTGGTATCAATTTTTTACATTGGTTTTTACCGACGTGTGCAATTTTGATGGCCCTCCAACAGGTTCCTTATGTGTATAGTGCAATTTCAATATAAAAAAAAAACCAAGGTCGTTTACGTCGTAATCCATTTCGTCATTGTATTAACTTTTTTTTTTCTAAGAAGTTTTTGATACATGAGCACGAACATTATTTGAGGGTGCTAATACCCCCTAAGCCCCTTATTTGCACTTATGCTTAGGTATGTGCAGGGCCGTCCCTACAATTTGCGGGGCCCGGGGCATAACTCTTTTAGCGGGGCCTACAAAAAAATGTAGTGCATTCCAAACAATGGCATTACACTCCCGTAACCTCTACCATTTTAATGTACATGTACATACCRTATGTGGCCTTCAAAAATATTAATTGGTGACTTGCACTAAGAACTTGAGCAGGGATTATCAACTTGTGTGCCGTGTGACCTTAAAAAATTGGAAATTGATGTTCCAAGGTAACTTTTTTTATGCTATAGTTATATCTATGAGTAAAAACAAAGTTACGTATTTGCTGATGCCTGATAGGGTTTTTAATGTTTTAGATAACGGTAATATACTACTGTTGTAACTTAAAGTTATTAGCATTTGTGCGTTTGTATTGCCGTATTGGTATTTATAATTCATCAATCATCAATATTGTGCGGTACTTTAAAGAAGAATGAAAAAAATCAAGTGTTTTCAACAAACAATAAAAATACCGTCGGTTTATTCCAACAACAATAAATAATAATAGTAAAAAATATATCTAATATTGCACATCGTAAAAAACAAAATTATACATGTATAAAATTTCCTCTGACCCTGTGTGTTCATCTATATGATTTTTGCCAGATTTGTAACAAAAGTACTCCTGAATGGAACCTGTAGAAAACTACTAGTGGCAATGATATCCTGGACAGTAGTCCCCAAAAAAGTAAGCCCATGAAACGCAGTTGTCGTTCTTGACTAATCCAACTCTGCGTAATGAACGAATCGAATAACCACAGAGCGATGTTGCTGCATAGCAGGTACGTGATTATCTGAAGATGCAAAAAAAAAAATCATTAAATTATCTCAATTTTCATGATATACGAGTGGTACTGCAATTGTTATTTACGAGTATTATGAATTGTACATATTAAAGGTGGTAATACGTGGGGAGAGCGAGACTAAGCCACCCCAATATTCCATTACCCTCTCATAAATAGACAGCTTTTTAGATATGCGAGATAAAATGCCCTGTTACTAACATTTACGTTAATCCCCCCCCCCAATTAAATTTAAATGGATTCCCACCTATGATTTTACAATTCGATCAATCCAAAGAGCATAAATCGCAGGGAACGTCAAAATATTTTATTTCACTGCGAAAATTAAAAATTAAAATTACCGTCAGGTGTAAGTGAATTTCTAAAATACATACCTAGGATAAATACACTTTGTAATCTGTATTATTGAGATTAACTATAATGTAGTCTATATTTACTACATTTTAATATAATACCGAATCTCGTARTAGTGTATAATATATCTGCATTTCTAGAATTTGTGCGTAAATTATTAAATAATGATAACTATTGTTCGTAAATGTGTGCACAAATGAAATGTTTTTTTTATAAAATGTGGTGGGGGCACAATAAATTATATCCGTCAATCTCYGTGTTCCTAAATTTTAAAAAGTAGGTAAATACAAAATACTAAACTTAAAGTTATAGTTTTAAACATTYCTTAAAATTTGCTTTTAACTATAAATAATTAAAAATTAAGAATTACCTAGTTAAAAATCGATCAAATAATTGACATTTCGTTATTTCACGTACCTAACCTATTTATTATGTTTGTGAATTAATAAATTTAATTTTCAATTTAAACTATGAATGTAATTATTATGATAAATTATGTAATTTATACATGGACAGATTATTTGTAACTAGGCATTGATAGGTAACTAATTATAGGATATACTATAAGTATASGCACGATTATGGTTGAGATTATTTGACAATATTGACATTAATTCGAGTTTGTCAATAGAGATATTGAACTTGATCAAGTAATTAAAGCAAGTATATTAAATACTCGTATTATTTTATGTAGCCCATGTATGGGATTGAAAAATTAAATATCAACTAATGTTTTGACGAATTAAAGTTGGATGTTGAAATTTGCAGAAATTTGAAAATATGGTGTTTTTCATCGACTTYCCCACTTAAATAATTTATTTATCTATAATTAAATCTAAATTACCCTTGTATGAAATTACTTAGTATACGATTATAGGTAGTATGGTTTTCATGATAGGTATACTTTAGTAGTTTAGTTTTTATACAATTTAAATAAGTCATCGGAATGCGTTAGAATCTTTAGCACAAACCAATAAGATGCAGAATAGTGGTGTCAAATTTCAAAAATTCACCGTACTATTCTTATAATATCAATATGGTATTGTAGAGTTGTGAAGGTTACCTGACGGCCGGGTTTGGTGAATAGTTGATGTCTCGACCATGAGCTTCTCCTGTAAGCCTCGGCGGTCAGTGAGCTCTGTACGRCCACTTGGACTAGCTGCAGCACGTTGACGGCGGTCAACATGACGTCCACATTCTGTTCCGGTGTGCCAGGCTGCGACGTGACCACCCCGACAGCGCCCACCATGGCGCTGAAAACCGCGTACAAGACGACGCCGGCACCCGACACTGTGGCCAGCATGGAGTCCAAAGCTGTTAGGTGGTTACCGTTGTGGCACAGCTTGCGAATCTGGTAGAGGCCCACACAACCCAATAGCGTACCGGTGGACAGTATGGTGGCCAACGTGGTGGACGTCATCCAGAACAGTGTGTCTGACGCAAAATCCGCATCGTCCTTGACCACCAGAAATATGATGACCACCACGATCACCATGACCAACGTCAGCAGACCAAGGAATAGGCCCTTGTTGGCGCCCGAAAAGCTCACCCCCTGAGACACGTACATCCGGCCCAGCTGAGCGGCTGAGTCTTTCTGCAGGTCTTTGGGCGTCGTTGACGAGGACATCGACGACGACGGCGGTGGTTTTTGCATGTTACGTTTCAACGGTTTCATCGGACAAGTGCCCACGTTCTGGCCCATAACATATGTAACTCCGGCAGCTATTAAACTGTGTGATATAACAAATTTGATATATATTTTTACTATTTATACCACGTGATTCATTTTATGTAAGACACTCATTATTTCAAAAAAAGGCAATMATTTTTAAAAAATTTTTTCACATAATTTTAATCCGTTAAAAAGTATAATTTGTTGTATCGTTGTAATTTTTTACCCTTTCTAATGATAACATGCAATTTTTTATTTTTTACTCCAATGCAAAATATTGTTGGAATACTTTTATGTAAAAAAATCGAATTTTGGAATATTAGCTTATGAGTAGAACTCGGATGTTAATGACTAAAATGTCACTAAAATATGCAATTATATTAAATATTCCTATTTTTCAAAAAATATATACAAAAAAAGGTTAATATTGATTAAAAAAAATTATATACACTTAAATGTGTATTTAAAATTACTTTATTACAAAATACACAGCTTTAAAATTCGAAAAAAATAATTGCTTAGTTTCCGATATATTCAAATTAAATTTTACATTATAGGTTTAGTACTTAAAGTACCAGGATTACATATTTACATTGTATAACAATTATTTTTTGATATTTCAAAATTTGAAAGATTTTCGACGGCCCGATCATATGTTTTTATAGATCAAAACGACCGCTCTACGTTATGAAAAATGTATATTTCATCAYATTTTTCCAAGTCGTATACTCGTATTAAATATTTGCATTTTCGTACTGTACCTACATTACACATATTGCACACTAAAAAAAGTATACGTATATGTGCTGGGACAGTTTAAATGATAACAGACGCAGAAGATTAGATGAATAAATGTATCATGTAAAAAAAACCCCTTTAAAAAATTATAAAAACGAATATGAATAAAATATAAATCAATAAACACAAAATGTATAATACATTTTTCTAAAGTTTGTATTTTTATAATGTATTGCAATTAGGTATTACATATATATTATATTATATATAATATACATATATATTACCTATACCGAGATAAATAGTAACTGTAACTAAATAATAGTGATTGTACCTATAATTTTTCAACTATGACACTTTAGTAATACTTGCTAAATTTAATTAGTAACAATAACTAAAATATAGCGATACCACCTACAATTTGAATAGCTATAATTTTATAGTAATTTTTTTTTTCCGTGCAGTTTGTACCTAATTAATTAAAAATATTATCTTAGAAAAAAAACTATTATATGCACATTTAAATCTGTTCCTATATTATATACCTATCTTCAATAATATCAATATTTTTTCTTATTATACTTATATTTGACTAACCTAAATTGCACAATGAATGGATAGAGATATGGCATAGAAGATGTTAAAAGTTGTCCGAGTGAATTAGTGTTCAAACAATGATGAAGTGTTACTACTTGTGACACGTGGTTCTCGGATACTGGTTGGTAGATGGTATTTCTAAACGTCTCGTTGTAATCTGAAAATATCCCAAATGACAGTGTATCATAAATTCATAATATAATTTATAAATTGTGTAAATAAAGTCAAACATTTCCTATACCTATACCTAAAACATCTTTGATCAAATTTTCACTGATCTGTTTGTTCGTCTTTATTTATACACATATATATAGTACTATATATAATTATAATGGCATACATTGTCAATATTGTTTGTTTATAATGTTATTGTTTTCAAATTTCGTTGTGATGGTTGTGTATAAATCGTATAAGTTATAATATGCGTATAATAGTTGGTAAAGTTTTAGGTACCTGGTTTTACGTCTCGCGTGTGCCTCGAAGTGATAAAACTGGGAAATCCACGAAGTTGTAAGGGTGTTGGAATACTTGATTCATATGTCGATGCTGACATACCAATGTTCGATGTCTGTGCTAGATGGATGAAGTAAATCCATTCAATGCCACTCTCCCAGATTACCAAACGAACCCATAAAGCAATGTTCGTGGCAGCTAAATGCATGAATCCGAATCTGGCAGCCAAACCAAACCTTTCGACTAATACCTAAAGACACACAGGTGAATTTATAAGTTTTTTTTCAGACAGGTAGGTTATAGAGGAACGTGGGGCAAAATGGGGACGATAAGGTTTTAGTACCTAGCAATAAAAATGTTAATTTCACATGATATTTTTCTAAAATTGGATTCATATGATCTTTATGTTGTCTAATATAATACCACTATCAGCTAATAACAATAAAAMAATATAACTTATGTTATTGGATATTTTTTTTTCATCTCATTTTTTCTATTAGACTATTGACTATCATAAATATTGTTTCATAATCACAAAAATTTAAGTAATTTCAACTGATTGTATTAAATTATTTATATAGCTAGGTATATGACTAAAGTCATAAAGAATGTAGAAAATAAAKCTTATACAGTAACGATGATGAATTATGTTAAAATACTTATGCTGTAAAGATAAATGTTTTGAAGAAAATCTCTCATGATAAACCATATTTAAAGAGAATTTGTTTTTCATACACAGTGCATGATGATACTTTAATCTTTTTAGCAAGTGGTGCGTGATTCCTGTACATGACGTGGGTACAACGTACGTATCGTCATGGACCATGCTTCGAATATTTTTTCTTAATATAAATATTATGAACATCAACGGATTTATAAATCGTACTCTGCACTGCTTGCTAAATTAATATATTATAATGTCACGTTCTAAAATCTTCAATAATACATTAAGGAACAATTTAACATTTCAATTTAAATCTATTTCACTACTGTTGTACTCGTATAAACTKCTGTATACARGTAGTACAGAATAGGACACAGGTACCTATCCTATTACAGTGTAAGGTTTTTCATTCTACTTCTTTCTTTTCGCCTGTTAATTGTGAAACAAAATTGAAGTTGTTTATATCATTATCATAGTCATCCGCGCTGCCATATCTATCCATGMAATATAATATAGGTATTATAATCTGCTGCTCCTTCCAGATGATGCGTTCAGGAGGCGACGTATTGAGGCGATGGCGGAGAAGCAGAGGTTGGCGTTTGGCAGAATGGTGGAGGCGATTCTCGGGCGAAAGGAGGATGCAGAGCGGTCCAGACAGGCACGATTAATATATGGTGGTTGAATTTGTGGGCTGAAGGCCAAATACCTGGGGTGGTTAGAGGCCCCCACGTATGTATATATCTTTGTTGTAAGTTTTTGTTATGGTGAATAAACGATACGGGTTCGGGTGGCAGTATTGTGCTRAACAGTTCCCACCCGTTCCCGGTTTCAAGAAGGAAAAAAAAAAAGGTATTATAATCTGCTGAACTCTAAAACTCTAAAGTCTCTAACTCTATCTAACTTTTTGAACTTATATTCGATTAGCTAAATGAAATGTATTAATGTAATACATTTGATATCTTTATATGCATGTTTATTCAATAGTATTACCTTCATTAATTTACATGTATTGATGTATTACCAATTATTTCGCATTGTGTAACATACACCGGCCGCTCGGGTGTGCGAAGTTTCAAGCAGGTCATTTTGAAATTTCACCAGGCCATATAAAAATAKATATACATACGTATATGTATATTATCCTGCATTCAATTATTTCCATACATTATAAACCGGTTATTACAATTTGATTTTAATCATATAAATAATTTTGCATTCGTGGCTCGTGCATTATTTTAGGCTTCAGCAAGGCGCAGGCCAATTGTAACATTCTAAAAGTAAGGGTTGCAACCGCACACCCTGCCACCCCCCAAATGACGCCCCTGACCGGCCGTGCTATACAGTATGAGAATATAATTATTTAGTGTCCGTTGTTCATATGAGTGTGATGGTCATAGACTATACATTTTATAATAGCGGTAGATGGAGCATAAGTGCATAACAAAATAATGTAGAATCTATTGAAGTTTGATCTTTGATATTTTTTCAGAAATATTATCAATTTTTAGTATAAAATTCACATCTATGACGCCTATATTATTAAAATATTACTTTACCATTGAGTATTATGTAATGGTAAAATATTAGATTTTATTCTTCATCTATTTTTTAATAGCGTTTTAATATCCAGCTGTCACGGTCTGTCAACTCAAACTTTCACCGAAAATTACAGATAAACCATCATGTAAAAATAGTGCATCCAAGTCTGAAGTTATTGTTGTTTCTTATATTTAATCACAATTTATATTTTGTATTTTAAAATAAAGTGAGTATTGCTAGGACGCTGTTGGTAAATAATAATATTATGTGGTACCTATTATAGGTAAAAAAAACGGGCTCCGAGTACTCTTTATTCATAATACTATTATAATATAATCATTCATGATAAGTACAGTCTATAATATATACCATTATAATTTATAACTGTAATTATATTTTGGTCCGGCTGAAGAAATTAGATCTACAAACAATTTCAGGACAGCACACAATAATAATTGTAATATAATAATACACGGCTTCAGTCTTCCGCCATAAATTATCATTTATTATATAATATATTATGTTAAAAAAATACTTAGTAGTAGACTAGTAAGTAGTAGGTATATACTTATGGTTGTGGATATAAGACTATACCTACAATAGTCTACTACAAATTCATTTTTTATACAACCGCCTACTGAAGTTATTAATAAAAAGTATTGAAATAAATTACTTGGTAAAATAAACAAATTTTACCTGGGAATTTATGAAAAGAAAATGCATCTGTAAAAATGTGAACAGTCCGTGTAGTATTGGATGTACGAATATAACATCGTTTAAACAACTAATGTCCATCATGGAATACATGGCCATTTCCAAACCATTGAATACGAGCGTTCCTAAACCGAATACTGAAACAATTAAGAGGTCATCAGTATTATTAATTAATAACGAAAGTACAAAAATATAATATTGATATTACAATAGGATCATGCAACGAATGTATATAACAAAGGAGAAATTCTCAAAAAAAAAAAAAATGCTCGCCACAGAAGATATTTTTAAATAGCTTGGTGCTTGAAATATATTTTTGATTATATTTTCCAAATATTTTCTCAAATATCAAGTAGTATCGTAAAGAATACAATAATATGATTTAAAATTTTTAAATAAAAATATTCGGATATTGTGATTTATGATTGATAGGTATTTTAAATAATTTTCGGTGTACAGGTAAAGATTTGAAATCATTTATTAATACTTTTCAAAAGTATGTTTCTGAGACCTCTGAGGCTCTGAAGTGGTATAAATAAATTTAATGGTGTAGATAAAATACTATGGCCTTAGTGTTTTTACAGTATAATTGAACCTAAATACATATTAAAGTATATAATATTAAATAAATATGAATTTCGTTTTAAATTTGCACAATATAGACTTAAACATAAAATATTGGTTTTGCTAGCTAGCATTAAAATGGAATAATATAAATTAGTATTCCCATTGTAGATAAAACCTATTCATTTCAACTTACCTAAAGCCCCTACTCTCAAATAGAAGCTGGTGTCCGAAGTCTTTGAACGTGAAATATGCGCACGTTTCAGCGAATTGAATTGTTTCAATGAGTTGAACCGGCTCAATGTAAAGACACCTGGCGACGAYGAGCCAGATGTGACGATATCAGTTTCGTCYGACGTTAAGCTGACGCACGAATCGATTAGCACCCACACATAAATGCATATAATTACGGCTATGCTTCCCAAGTAAAGGTACATAAGATAAATCCCCTGTATAGATAATAACTTAACAGGATTGTCCATAACTTCTATCAAACAGATGGCGAACATGAGAATAACCAACACCATTCCGTAGAACGAGCTGAGCGTCACCCAGCAGTGGTGGCTGTAATAAACATAAAAATTATAATAATTTGTTATGGCTATAATACATATAATAAATATTATACTATATAACAGCCAACAGGTGTAATTACATTGCTCGTCAACATAAAAATAAATTGATTGGAATTGAGGTAGGTACTCACAAAGATTCCGTATGTTGTAACATGGACATGTCTGTCCCTCTATTCGTCAACAGGTTCATCAGAGTCCGACTACTTTTAAGTTTAAGTCCATCAGATCGACCCATTTTGGAAGATCTTTGGACTAGTTTACGATTTATGTGTGAAAAATGATCATCCAGACTATCTTGTTCAGTTAATTCACATATACTATGCACTGAAAATTAAATCATTTTAGATCATGTATTTTATTTAATAATTTAATGTTTGAAAAGAATAAATGAAGGAAAAACATATAATATAATTTACACATTTAGTAAATTGTTATACCGTTATTGTAGGTATACCTACATAATATACAATAATTTTATAGTAAGCATAGTACTATATAGTGTATATAGTTTTCAAATTAATTTAAACATTTTCAATTTAGATTGGAAGATTGTCTTTAATTTCATAAAATTTCTATTTTTTCTAGCATTTTATTTTTGAGGTACAAAYTTCTGTTTTTCAAATGTCAGCCCCCTTTTGTACTGTAAATGAATTGGATGTATCAATACCAAAATTCGAACAATAATAATAGATATATTATGTGTGCTCTGAAAAATATATAGGTACGAGCTCGATTATAGCTGGTTCGGAAGATATGGGTTCTATAGTAATTTTAAAATGTTAGTAGCTTACACATTTTTATAAGATAGTTAAACATTGTCCAAGTACAATAAAATAAATACTAGATAAAATCATTCTAAAAATATTATTTTATTTTTATTACTATTATATGTATAATTAATATAAAAGTTTAAATAACTAAAAACCTACTCGTTTAAGTTTTGTATTGTGTATTAGGGAYGTTTACAAAAAAATTATCTACTAAAATATAGTCTTTAAATGCATTTAAAAATTCTAAAAATTAAAATAAATTTATCATCAAATGAAAAATGGAGGTGGGTATGAAAGTGAATCATTCTGTATACATTTTCTTTTTTTTTTTGAGTTAATAATAATATGATCACTCGAGGTTTCAGCTTGGATTTTAATACAAAAATAATACTGGTTTCAAAAGTGCTGAAGTTTAATGTTTAAACGCTAAAGACGAATAATTGCTTTACTTATGCCGTTTATTCGATGCGTAATTATGTATAAAAGAATATTAAGAAGAAACAAACAATAGGTAGTAAAAACTAAAATATCAACAACACTATACTATACGCCATACGGTAGCAATATTCAGTGCTCATAATTTTCCCTTTCAAAACGAACGTCCGTGCATAAYAATTACACACATAAAAGTAATACATATACACGTGTGCCCTGTGCGGCGTTTCAAGTCATTGCGGCCCTATATACACATAACAAATATAGGTAGGTAGCTGCTATATTATAATATTATAATGTTACACCACGTGGCATACTATATACATTATTATGTGTTTGTATGTAAATGTATATATGTATATATATATATATAATTTATATATATGAACTCAGCGATGACATTAATCTAGGAATATATGGCGGTTAAATCCGACTAGCTGTGCTCTTCGATCCGCGTAGGTTGCAGTGAGCAAGTGTAATAATTGTAGTATGTAGACTATGCGACGAAATGTCGTGTATATATATATAGTGTATACATATATAACCTAACCCGACAAAACAGTCTTTAAAATGCGTGCAGAGATTAACTAGACCATAGTCATAAGTCGAGTTGTATATGTATAAATATAATATAATATTTTGTMATTTATGTCAATAAAACGTACAAAGTTAGTATATACATATAGCAGGCACCTATTGCATAGGTGTATTATAATTATAATTATTATTATGACTGTGCCAACGGTTTAATTTTTATTTAACGGAAAACAAAAATCTACTATGCGTGTTATTTGCAGCAACATACATCATTCCACATGTTAGTTAGTACCTAAGTCCCAGCCCCTAAGTATATATGTTAAAGTCTATATACGTGGTATCATTTTATTTTAGAAATCAATAATTTCCCCCCCCCTCAACTTTATAACGAAACCATTTTTTTCTAACCTTTATGGCGTTATTATTTTTTGGTTTTAGCACGGTTTATTATATTTGATGTCATTATGTTTTGGTTTATGAGTACTGAGTAGTATCTATATGACTATATATGACATTTCAGTATACGTGTATACGTTAATATACTACGATAGCGTAAAAGTTTGATCAATATTGCGTATATTATGTACTCTATTTTTATAAAGCCAAATTTATTAGCTACGACGTATATTTTACAGTTCACTTTAGAAACACACTCTTTCAGGAAATAAAATAATCATTATGTTGAAGCGACTATATATTTTATGCTCACTTCTCGTTCCGGTTCCTAAATAAATACTTTCCCACATTACAATGATGGAAGTCTAGAAGAGTATTATATAGTTATGGTGATTACTAGCTGATTTTATATTATAGCGGTTTTTAATAATAATTTGTATTGATAAACGTAATGTTTTACATGTAACGCAGATTACACATCATAATTAGTATACCTATTGTTATTTTTACAAAAAATATGAAACATAATATTAGATAAGTATAATCTTATTATAGGTACTACTATATCATTTTTTTTTTTTTGATCATTCATATACCATAGAAACATAGCCTATAGGCTGCCCAGCCACGTTTATTGTAATAGTCGCATTACTTAACGTATCGTATATTGTTATATATATTTTATTTTATGTAATAAACGATGGCGACGATGTCGACGTAAAGCGCAAGGAGTTCCGGCAGCGTCGTCGATATCACAAAAAAAAAGGCTGCCCAGCCACTATAAATATATTATATGATTTATATGAGTACCTAGCTATTAACAGTGCCTATGGAAAAAATATAATTTTATGATGTGCCTCTTTTTGACTTGGCCGGGAAGATACTCTTAAACGACATAAAATTATATCACCTACCCTTAAGTACAAATTTCGACTACAGAACGAGTTTAGAGRTGAGAGGTGACTGGAACTATATGAGTTTATATGACACTGGCACACTGCAGTTTGATCCTGAAGGTTTAAACTGCAACTTTCAAATAATGATACAAAAATACCTCTAACCTTGACCAGCTGTTGTGATATTTGGTAATTGGAATTATATTATACTTATAACTTATATAAGCTATAAATKTATCAACAATTAAGTTACTTTAACGATATTGTTTTAACAGGATATAACTATAGTAAGTATATAAATATGTAAATCGCGGTTATTCGAATAAAAAMTTATATTTTTGTTGAATTCTCCAATKTAAAAYATAAAATTTTTTTAATTTGTGACAAATCCCCGAACTCAAAACATCTATGTAATTTAAATAGTCTAAGAAAATTGGCATGATTGACGAATACGATGAAACTATTTCTTCATAATGCATAGAAAATAATTTAAACATTTTTTTGAAATTATTCTGCTTTAGATTGTTCAATTTAACATAAAAGTTAGGTACTATTTAAAAAAAAGTAAAAATCACATATTAGTATGTTAATTTTTTTTTTTTTTTTAATGTCTAAATTCATCAATCTGTTATGAAAATAATGTGAGTGGTGTCCGGTCTGAATATTGCAGATATTATAATATAATAATATGCCATTATAGTTTATTGAAAAAGAAAAAAAAGTTCAAATGTTCGCACAACGTGCCATACAATACGGAGGAATAAAAAAAAACTAAACAACGTTTTATGAAAGACAAAAAAATCTGCTGGTATTACCGACCCGCTTTGATAACATCGTATAATACAATAAATTGTATAATTACAGTATAATAGCATCATGTGTRCAGAAAAAGGTAACGTGATGAACACACGCGTACAGTGGTACGCAAACGGTTAGGGTATTTGTTGTTCACRATAAGCCGGGTTAAATTGTCGTCATTTTCCGAAGAGATAAGTTGGATGTCGGAAACGAATTCGATTGTCCTACTTCGCTGCAGTAGAGTCAGAAAAATGGAAGCCCAAGTCGCGCACACACATGACGCGAATACTTATATGAGTTATGAGTTATGAGTTACTAGTTGGGTATTCTTCTGTACTTGTAATTAACTCCGAACTATAATAGTCTCTGAACTCGCTGACCACACTACCACAGGGACATATTATATTGACGGGGGTAAGAGAGAGTGATGGGATGATGGGAAAATAGCCGAAATGATTAAGACGAATAAAATAATTTATATACGTGTTTATTTACAATATAACGTGGCTAAAAGTGATATTTTTTTGAAATTAAAGGTTTCTATTTAAAAACAATAAATGTTATAAAAGTTATAATGATAAAACGTGCCAATGGATCGTAAGTGTTCATTGAAAGGTATATAGGTATTAATTATGGGATCACTGAATAATRAAAGATACCTACTGATGTATTTTAGCTGAACTCATAAAATGAAGTCATAAAAATTATTAATTAAATACTATACGATCCACATCAAATAGTTTCAGAATCTGCTATTTTCGTCAGTATTTTTAATCTTTCGACGATGTTGTTCGGGTGGTTGTGTGATTATACCGATCAGTTGTWTAATTTTTTAATCGCGTGGAACAATCATAATAATATATTTTTAGCRTTTTACAGTTAAAGATTTATAACAACATTATGTGGAAATAATAATTAGTAATTACACGTTTACTGCTTTTTACGAACAGAAAAAATTATTCGCAAACACGCCACTGCAGCGAACTCGGTGTGTACGCACATTAAGACACACTACTCACTCGTCCAATCGCTATCGGCTGACCCACCTTTAGCGGCGGCAGCGGTGTCTCGACACCCGTCAGAAGCTGTACTGTTAACGCCGTGCTGCGCCAACTTCCAATTCTCACGTCCCACGGCGTCTCGGGTGCCCGCGTTCCTGCTCCTGCTGCGGCCGTCACCGTCGACATCGACTGCAGCGGTGGCCCGCCGTTCGTGGACGACGACCGTCTCCTCGGAGGCTGACGCGACCGCCGCCGCAGCCACTGAAGATGACGTCGGCGTCGTCGTCTGCACGTTATTGACGGTCCCGCCGCGTACCGTAGTGATCATTGTTGTGACTTGTTTATGTGTGCACTGCTAGCGGGTCCGTAAACGCGCGGCATCGCGGATCGGCTACGACTACAATGCGATGGACGACGGTTCGGTCACTCACGCTCGCTATGTACCGCATATGACCCGATGGAGAGAGGGAGGGGCGAGGAGAGAGGCCTTCTATACGAATCGAAAGTATAATGCGAAATGTTATAATTAAGGCCCGGATTTCAATGCAAAGTGCATCTTTTTTTGATTGGTCATTGACAATGCTTTCCAAGTATAAAACTTGTTTTATATAACGATATAGTGTTTCAAAGCTAAACATTTTTTTTTTGCATATTTCGGGGTTTCTATGTTWTAAGAGCATTTTTAGCACTAATGGGTCATTTTTATGGTTTTTAATGCATATATATTCGTTCAATATACTACTAWACAAATTTAGTGTATTTATTAATATATATTTTAGTGTCTAAATTTAGAATGAATAATAAATTCCAAATTAAAATAACAWATTGTATAAAAAATAAATATAAATKGTATTTTTAAGGTTATTTTTTGAGGGAAAATGCATGTTTTAAGGACATTTTTGGCTATTTTTTAGAGCATATTTGTATGGTTTTAAGTGCATTTAAATCCGGGCCCTAATTATAATGATAATAATATATTGTACACTTTGTTTTGTATAGGCACATTGTAGCACACATGATATTATTATTATTATTCTAGTGATGATACGTACCCATAATACCGAGACGGTTGCTGACGCAATTATAAAATATTATATAGGTAGGTATATGTTATGTGCAGACCGGACGATGGTCGTTGTAAAAGTAATACTTCCGAAGTATAACGCGTGCACGAAAATTGTATAGGATTAAAATTTAAAATACTTACTGTGTATGGTGATATGATAGGTGACGACAATAATGATATAGGTAATAGTCCGAGTGATGTGGTCTCGTCGCGTGCTGCCGCTGCAGTGTCTGCCAATATTATTATAATTATTGTAATCAACGAGGCTGATCCGATAAACACGTGCTGCGTGTGTCTTGTCTAGCACTTTGACGGCCCCCCCCTCAATAATAATAGTCCAATGTTTACATAGGTATGTAATGTTAAATCGAGATTAATGAACCGTTGACGGTCGGTACTAACACGCCTAAACAATAATAATATAATATATAATATTATAGACTATATAGCAATAATATTATTATATGAAAATGTTATTTATGACTATTATTAGGTATTATTATTATCTTTGTTTTTCGAGATATTTTTTGCCGTATATGTCTCCGGGACGGTGTCGCATCATTTACTGTTGCGATTGTCGCACGCGACCGGATGAGGTTCGAGCATGTGCTCGAGTGGTGTTCCTCTTCCACGCGACCAATAAACCGGTCGGTTCGACGGAATCCGTATTTTCTTAATTAAACACGGTCACTTTATATACATATATTATGGTTTTTTTCGGCATAGTTTTTACGCTGATATATTAATATGTTTTTTATTAATGTGTACCTATTTTACRTTTGTTTTTATTGGCCGCGTCATCAGCGCCGACGACTTTCCAACGCATACTTATATATAAAATATAATATACGAACCTGTCGCGGTGACTTTACGGAACCGCTCTGCAGCACATGATATTATAATTAACCACGTTTACATATTATTATTATTATTATTATTGTGTATGATATATATATGGTACCTGCCTATAGGCTGTGGCCTACATTTTCGTACGCGCATCACACACGTATAATATAATAATAATACAGACGATGATAATATGTTTTTGTTGTTAAAGTCGCTCCAGGAAGTGATCTGTCGACGGTCGTTTGCGCATTATTTTATATTATTAGATTAGATTTTTATTTATTATACCTACTATTGTAGATGGGATGCAGCCAGCAAGTTTCATAGGTAGGTAGTGGACTGCAAGAGTGAAAATTACTTTTTATTTTCATCTTGTTTTTTATGATGGTATTACCATTTGTGCTGCGTATACTGCAGGGTGATTATTTTAATGGTGGACATCCGTATTTTTACGGAAAGTATCGGAATCGAAAGTTACTTGTTGAAAATGTATAGGTCACGTTTTACTCTCTCGATTTTTAATCAAGTATTTACGGTAATCAAAAGAAAAAAGTATTAATTTTGAAAATTTAAAAAAATTGTTGACAAATATGAGCTCAGGCCAGAAAACTATATTTTTAAAMCTTTCTTTTAAACTATACGAGAGCTAGACTTTTAATAGATAACTCATTAAAAAAAAGGCTTGTTAATTAAATACAAAATGTGAAATAAAAAATTGTGTTAATTTTTTAACCGTTAAAAATATAAATAGTCAATTTTAGCAAGATTTTCTTTGTATAGCGACTCAAATCTCCGAAACTGGAGAATGGATTTTGTTGTTAAGGGTCTTGTTAGATTCATATCTATTGACTAAGAGAAGAGAAGAACCACCTTCAGATCACTGTCTGGTGTACAATATGGTTTAATCCTATTGTAATAAATATATACTACTTAAATTGTTAATAATTCAATAAAATTGAAAAACCAAAAAAGTAACACGCCATACGCCAAATCCAACGAGGCAAGCATTTATTTATATATATATATATTTTTTTTTTGTTCAGGCAAGTGGACCGCAAATCGYGAGCAGCATATGCCTCTTAGCTCGTCTTTAAACATTCAGATAACTTAAATTGGTGTCTATTAACTAATTAACAAGTTTTAAATATGAACGCACATTAAATGCATAGAAATAAAAAGTAATTCTTCCGCAGCACAATACTCAATATTTATAAAATAAAATCAGAAATTTAATATAGGTCGCTTTATATTAGAAGTCCAAAGTTCGTAGTGTTGCATTCGCCAATAATAATAATATTATRTGATCTTATATACTTTAACGTTTTTATAGTTCGTAAATACGTTTTAAAACAATAAACGAATGTTTAAACGTTTGAAGTTGAAATTATCATTGGTACTGTATAATATAATGTATACATATATTATATTTTATAAGTACGACCATTCGTAATAATATCACATTACGATTTACGATTTACGACTTTCTGGCGCTTCTAATTTATACCCGTACCAAGATAGGGACAGGTGTCTATTTTTATTGATTGGATCTTAATATAAATAACATGTATAAATATTTACAAATCTATTTATAGTATATATTACAGCCTATCTATTCCAATTCATCGTTTTCGAAAGGAACATTCAACGTAATTAAAAACTTTGCCCTACTATATTAGTATAGGTATAATATACTGCAGATGTAGGTAAATACTATTTATTGTTTACAAACCGAACGTTTGACCGAATATATTACATGTATAGATTAAATATTTGTTGTTTTGACTTTCGAGAATAAGTGCTATAATTCCAGTGGTATAATAAATAATAATGAAATACTTATATCCGTATAAACGACTATCAAAATGTGAGAGTTTGTAATACACGTATAGATAATAAAATTATACATACATTTTATGTACACAATATATACGTTATACATATTATATATATATATATTACGCAGTGACGTCCCCTAACAAATTTCTAATGGGAGGGGCCCTGAATATAATTCGTGTTATAATACATTATTTATTGTACATAAATATAGGTATAATATAATAATCAATGTGGTATACAAAGATAAAAAATATAGATTGRGAGGATTGAGGGCAACTCACGTCCACGTGTATAAGAATAAAAAATTGATTTCTCGAGTTGCAGATTTAAAATCGTAAATGTAAATTTATATCATGTGACACATAACAAAGTGAAAAGAAAATTTTTAATTTCAAATCAAACTACGTTTTCGACTTGTTAGGTGCTGGAATTCTGCTGTCTTGGCTGCATACTCTAGTTGCGTCCCRAAAATATTTACGAAAAAAGATCTAATCCGAATTGCGGCCCGAGTTTATTTTGGGTACAGACGAGTTGCGGCCCGGGTTTTTTCAATTCTAGATAATTTAATCTTAACCGAAAGACCTATCATGCAGTGACTTGGTATACTTTATAAGTACGTCCTGATATCTTCAACGGATGTAGAACGAAGTTTTTCTCGATTTTAGAGTTTATTTACTGAAAATTTAAGTCTTTAGTAGTCAACTGTAACTCTTCAGGTAACTTTGAAATATTAAAAAATATA